ATACTATGATTATGGCCCTAGGGCAAAGAAATTATTGGCTTGGAGAATTAAGCAAAAGGAAGAAGAAAGAGGAATTTATTGTATTAAAGATGAAGAGACTCAAATGCTGTGTTATACTGCTAAAGAGATACAAAATTCATTTGTAAACTATTACAAAACACTATACTCGCAGACCCGAGAGGTTGACCCTCTACATATTAACCCTTTGATGCATGAACTATGAAATCTTCAACCATGATTTTTTAAACAATTTTTTTCATTCATATTTAGGTGTGAATGAAACAAATTTCATCTATACATATTTTTTGTAAAATTTAATTTACAAGTAATTTATTACATGTCCACCTCAGTGGACAGTGTGCATTCTGAACATGAAATATGTTGGCTTGACTTACTGAAGTACAAATGGAGGGGTTCAAATGCAATAAAGTCTTCAACAGCTGTGCTTAATAAAAAAAAAAAAAAAAAATTTTAAGTACCTGTCCACTGTAGTGACCATTATGCATCAAAGGGTTAAGAAATTTTTACATTCTTTGGACCTACCTAACATTGGAAGGGAACAAAACTAAAAAACTAATGCATCATTATTATGATGGAACATACTGCCACTTGATTTATATAATAGAATCGACATGATCAAAATGAATATATTGCCTCGAATACTTTTCCTCTTTCAATCTATACCGGTACACATACAAGCCAAACAATTTGCACTATGGAACAGAATGCTCTCGGGATTTATATGGAAGGGCCGCAAACCTATAGTTAAATACACAACACTACAACTGCCTAGGGAGAAGGGTGGACTTTCCCTCCCAAACTTAGAAAGTTATTTTAAAGCAGCACAATTAAGATATTTACTCTATTGGTGTGATCCATTGTATGTGGCAAAATAGAAAGATTTAGATATGACACAATTAAAATTACCACTACAGACAATATTAGGGGATAAAAAATTATATCTGGAAAAGAAAAAAAGAGTTAAATTAATGGACTAAAATGCCTTTAAAGATATGGTTTGACGAATGTGAGAAACATGAATCAGACACCAACGTAAAACAACTTAGATGGGTCACAAGCGATAGGGAATTCTCCCTGGCACAAACAGATGGCCGCTATGCGGCATGGTCGACAAAGGGGATCGGCAGGGTATCTGCAGGTTTAAGGGAGCCAAATTTAAGACTTTAAGACCTTTGTTTAAGGCCACTTTGACCAAATTTAAGCAATTTTTTAAAATTTCATTTAAGCTATAATTTCCAGCTATTGCTTGAAACTGGTGCTAACCATGTCGCGAACGTGGGATTAACCATCCAGTTACCATTAAACTTGCACTTCCCCATGGCGCAAGCTCCCACTAGCTTAACCAGCTAATGTGCTCATCTAAAAATAGCCCCCTTTCACAACCAACTGAATGAGTACAGTTCCGCTTATGAAAATATGATACACATAAAATGCTGAACACTAACTAGAAATTCACGAAAATTTTATAGAAATAAAAATTTCTTGTTTATTGGGTCTTTGGTCATTTAAGACCTTTGGAAACTGTATTTAAGGATTATTTGTCATTTTTAAGGATTTTTAAGGCCTTAAATTTGGAAAAGCAAATTTAAGACTTTTTAAGACTTTTTAAGGAAAATACCCTGGATGGGACAGTTTTGCTCAATTGCAGGGAGGGATGGACTACATGGTTTTGACAAATTAAGGGACACATATGGTCTGGAAAACCTGGATTTTTTTAGATATCTCCAAGTCGGATCTTATTTCAACAGTAACATTAAAAACACGGAAGAACAGAGGGACGGCCTAGTCTCCCTTATAAAAGAGGCATGTCAAAGTAAGATTAAAAACAAACAAATTACTAAACTTTATCGGAACCTACAATCACTCAAAGACCAATCAACTAATTATATTAAAATTAAACGGGAAAGGGAAGCACAAGTCACCATATCAGATGAAAGTTGGGCAACTATATGTGAAACACAGAGGAAAACTACCAGTTTGAGTTACTGGAGGGAACTCACTTGGAAAAATTTTACCTGGTTCTTTATAACCCCTAAAATAAAATGCAAACAGAGACGCCAACAGAGAGAAGGACATTGCTGGAGACAATGTGGGGAAAACATGGCAGACCACTTCCATATTTTTTGGAAATGCCCGGTAATTCAGCCATATTGGAGGGAGATGGTTGACTCAATCACAGTCGTGATGAGTTGTGAGTTAGTTAAGGATTTCTGTACTGTTAATTTGGGTGATATCCCATCAGTAGTCCCCACAAGAGACAAATATTTAATGAATATCATGCTGGCAGCAGGCAAAAAAGCGCATACCAGGAAATGGCTAGAGAAGAATGCCCCAACAAGGAAAGACTGGCAGGGAATAGTCGAGGAAATATATAAGAAGGAAAAACTGACAGCCTTTTTGAACCTTAAATTAGATCGTTTTCATAAGAATTGGGAGAAATGGGAGAGATTTACTAACAGCAATACCACGCAATGATGGAGGGCAGGTTGTATACAGTATGCATGAGTTAATATGCAGTGTTTCCCCCACATAGGCTCAGGTGTGGCGCTATGTCACACCTTAAATTCTAGAAAAATTATCATGATATATTACCATATTGACATTTTCTTAAATCCCTAGTAGACAGTGTGGAAAAGACTGGAGAAGAAGTGAATTACCAGGGGATAATTGCTAAGGAATATTAGAACATTTTTCGTTGAAAAACAGTAATTTGATAGGTGTCAGCAGAGTACAAGTGAGATGGTAAGGAATTTGGTGGTTGGACCATCTTATTCAACAACGAAAATAATGTTCTCGTAATTGAAGCAATGAGCCCTGAAAAATACTCTGTTTTGGCAGTTATTATAGAGGCTTTGTACTGCAATAGATTAGTTAAGTACAGTTCTTTTATAGAGATGCTCAAGTAAATGATTTCTAGATTTTATTGCACACAGCCCAGAGGTATACCATGGAGCACTCAAGGAGAAAGAAAAAAGCCTGGTTTTCACAGGATCGAGTGTCCAGGAGAAAAACATACAGTAGCAACATGATCCTATTTTGGTACCATATATTCCATATTGTCACTAAATGCGTCTGATGGTCTAATTCCCTCTGTTTGGTTGTGCACTGATCTCCAGAACTTCTTTCACAATAAGATCCAAAACATTATGCTCTGCGTCATGCCTCTGAGATAAACTTTTCCAGTGGAAGCCCCTCATCCACTCCGCTTCTCTGGTTTCACTCCACTGTGCTCATTGGACTTTGAGAAGTTGATTAGCTCCACAAAGCCAACTCATTTGCCTGTAGACACAATCCCACCTAAACTGGTGTGTGACCTTCTCACCACTCTAGGCCCATCGCTTTTGACCATTGTGAACACTAGATTAACTACTGGAGTGTTCCCCATAGCTTTTAAACCAGTGGTTGTACAGCCGATTTTGAAGAAGCCTGGTCTGGATCACTCCAGTTATAATAACTTTCACCACATCTCGAAAGTCCCCTTATGGTCTAAGGTGCTGGAAAAGATGGTCCATTCGCAAATCTCAGACCATCTGAAAAACAATACATTATTTTAAAAAATTCAATCAGCATTCAGACCTTGCCACAGCACTGAATTCGTCCTCATTCGGGTCCTGAACAACACTTTGGTTGCATCAGGCTCTGGGTCTCATGTTCTGCGGCTCCTATTGGACCTGTATGCAGCATTTGATACTGTAGATCATGACATTCCGTTGCAAATTTTGGAGTCATGGATGGAGGTAACGGTTACTTCCTTAGAATGGTTTCGCTCATACTTATCCAATAGATCCTTCAGTATTGAAACTGATGACAGCTCCTCCCCCTGTGACCCGCGGGGCTCTGTATTGGGACCGCTACTTTTCTGTATTCATCTTCTATCTTTGGGAAACATTCTGAAACACTTTGATCTCAACTACCACATACTGATGATTACCAGCTGTATGTCACAGTGGACAAACCAAGTTTGTTTGACCATTGTGAAGGACCAGTTAGCTGCCAACTTTCTGCAGCTCAATGAGGCTAAAACTGAGGCTAACTTATTTGATCTGTGTAATGTCTCCCATGCCCATCTCTCAAAGAACTTTCCTGATCTCAATTTTTAAGACTACGTGACTAGCCTTGGGGTCAAACTGGATACTGGTCTCTCAATGGTTCCTCAAATAAACGCTGTGGTAAAATAATGCTTCTTCCAGTTGTGTTGAGTAAAACGTCAGAAACCTTACTGAAGAGGAGGCATTTAGAATCAGTGATTCGTGCATTTATGTCTTCCCACCTTGACTATGCCAATGCTCTCCTAATTGGCACCCCCGACTCAGTTCTGAATTGCCTTCAGGTGGTTCAGAATGCTACTGCCAGGTTCCTGTCCTTGCAGAGCTTCACAGGCTTCCCGTTGCTTTTAGAATTTGTTTTAAGCTTTTGATTTTCACGTTTAAAGCCCTCAACAGCCTGGCACCACTGTATCTCTCTGAGCTGCTTGCTTCTTATGTCGCTGGGCGAGCACTGAGGTCCGCGGATCTGTTATTGCTCTCCACGACCTGGGTGAGATACAAAGCACGAGGGGAGCGGGCATTTATATGTGCTGCCCCTACCCTTTGGAATGTACTTCCGCTGTTGGTTAGACAGGCTCCATCTCTTGCCTCTTTTAAATCTCATTTAAACACGCATTTTTATGATTTGGCCTTTGGCCTGGAATTTTATGGCCATGTCTGTGATTATATTTATTTGTTGATCTTATTGTTTGTTTTATCAGCATTTACTTTATTGTGTTGCAATGTATTTGATGGAAAGCACTTTGGTCAGCTCTCATGCTTTGCGTAAACATGCTTTACAAATAAACTGGTATGGTATCCACAGAAATAGCCATTTTAAATTAAAGACCAGATTCTCCTCTTTACAACAATATAAGAACCATTACTCTTATCTTCATGTGTTTGTGTGCTATGATGGTGGGAGAGCAGCATTTCAGAAGCAGAGGAGCTGACCTGATAAGTCCGATGGGCTGGTACTTGTAGAAGACACTGTAGCTGGCCCACTGTTCATACAGCAGCTGGAAGGAACAAGATGGAATCAGAAAAACTCCCATCGTTTGTCAGCCTCAATTCAAACTGATGATTCTTGACTTGGACATCATAGCCTTGAATATGCATGTGGGTATTTCAACACTCGTATGGCACCTGTCTCTTAATTCCTCCTTATATGTTTATGTTTGTTTATTTGGAAGATGCTTTTATCCAAAGTGGCGTACAATTTTTAACCTATAGGGCATGTTGTGATCTGTGGGGGAAACCCGCGCATGCATGGGGAGAACATGCAACTCCATGCAGAAAGGCAGCAGCCAAATTTAGAACCTGCAACCTTCTTGCTGCGAGACAACAGTGCTAACAACTGCGCCACCATGCATGTACATGTTCTTACTGTGTGTTCCAAGTGATAAGTGTGAGTTTGAAGGGCTCTGAGAAGTCCCCAGAGAGAGATTCAATCAAAGACAGGAAACCAGAGATGGAGGAAACACCGTCCTGACTGGAGAAATAAATGGTGTGTAAGCACCTCCCAGAGTGTGAATATAACCTGAACACTGAAGCACTTCTATCCAGATCCTGTGTTTAGTCCGATTCTGGAAAACACATCGGATCTGAGCTCCGGCCAACAGTGATCTGCACATCCTGGCTGAGAGACTGATGTATACAGCTGATAACAGCTGACTGAGTAAGCACTTTGTCAGCCTGTTCTGATTATGCAAAAACTATAAAGCAATCATCGCCTGTTGGAGTAATTTCACTCCGCTCTTCGTTCAGATGGAGGACTGATGCCGGAGGAAAAACCAGCTCCTGTCTCCATTGCACAGAAAAACTTCCCTCCTAAATGGATATATGGATATGATGTAAGCTAACTGGGAGCTCCGAGCTAAAGCTACTTCTATAAAACAGGGGAGTGATTATGGAGCCATTGCCTTGGTGACACACATCTACTCACCAAGAGGAGGCACTGGCTCAAAGTGTAAATACCCTCAGAGGTTTAGGAGCTGGTCATACTGAACAAAAACATGAAGATGCAGCATGGATTTTCACCACAGATGCCATTTAGTTGCTGACTCGCCTTCTTTTGGGTGTAATCCCCTTTTTACATTTACATCATATGTATGAACTCCAGCTGCTGAATCTATGCCGTGTTTGTTTAGGAGGAGAGACTGGGTGTTAGCATTGAACGCAAACACTTCCTGTTTCAGGTTTTACATCCACTAGTCAACCCTGAGTCTGAGAAGGTTCTGTTCTGCCTGGTTGTTGGACCTGTTCCACTCACCTTCCTGTCATTAGGTTCAGCATTCACTCCCTCAATGTCTCCCTGTAAAACACACACACACACACACACACACACACACACACACACACACACACACACACACACACACACACACACACACACACACACACACACACACACACACACACACACACACACACACACACACACACACACACAGTTTCTGATTAGTTTCAGATAAATCATAGTCATTTTACATGAAACAAGATGGCGCCAGTGTTTTTGGCCGGCCATCCACCTCGCGGTCTCCTTCTATTGTTTTTGGTGATATTTCTGAACTTTCTTTCCCCCATAATTGCAATCATTAAGTATGATCGCTCTTCTCTTTTGGACATACGGTTGGCAATGTGCCTTTCTCCACCTGTCGTGAAGGATTTCCATCATACCTCTTGCCCGCTGCTCCCTGGACCTCCTCTCTACCTGTGTCGGATGCCGTGTCGCTTCCGTGGTTGGAAGCATTGCCGTTGCGGCTGTCAAGCCGGGCGACTGGTGAGGCTTAGAGGTTTTCGGGCCCGCTCACCTGCCTCCTTCAGGATTTCTGTCGGCGTGGGGCCCAGTCTGTGTTCCTCTGTGTTCCATGTCTGATCCCGTCGGAGTTGCCCGGGGATCTGGCGGGCCCACAGCTTCGCTCTGTGCCAATGGTGCTGTGCCGTCGTGGAATCTGCCCAGCAAACCTTCTCCTAGTGCCGACGTCATCGGCAGTCTGCTCCACAGCTCGGACTGTTCATCAAGACTCGACCTCCATCAGCTTTGCTCTTATAAACGCAAGATCCATCAGAAATAAATCTTTTATACTAAGAGATCTTTTCCGTGATCGAGCGCTGGACTTTCTCTGCGTCGTGGAATCCTGGATCGCCCCGGGTGAGTCAGCTGCTCTAGCGGAGACTCTCCCCCCCTGCATGCTCATTCATAAACTCTCCAAGATAATGCGGCCGTGGAGGAGGCCTTTTAACTACTGTAAATCCTCCAATACAGGCCCGGGCCTGTATTTGACTCAAGCTCATCAAGCTCCAGGCCTTTATTGGAAGGAGGACCAGAATTAGAGGCAGGCCTCTATTTCTATTTGAGCAAAATGAACTAATGGTTCGCTGGAGTTTTTGACAATTAAAATTGCGCCCACATTTTCAAAGTTAAACACATTTCTTTTAACAACGGTAGTTTCTGCTTCAGCCCTCTCCCCCCTCCCCCTGCGCAGTGGCCGCAAACTCACTGGTGCACCTGCAGCCTCTCGGAATTCCTGCTGTTCTAAACATTAAAATAATTATTTCATTTTCTGTTCCTCACTTCTGATTACCTTCAATGGTGTATGTTTGTTGCAACCACCAGGTACAAAAACTAACTTGTTTCTATGACTATTTTTCTGTCCTGCCTGTTTATTATCTTCCTGCATCTCCTCTCAATCCTAAAGAAAAACTGCTACCTGGGTTCATATATATTCACCTCATGAGTTACCTTTGAACTGCAGTTCTAAAAGATCTACCGACTGCAAAAACAGCGGAGTGCACGCTGCTTGCCGGCCACATCAGTTAGGTGCGTCACCGAGGACAAAACAGGTGATGCGCCCCGATCCACAGCAGCGAAACGCATCAGGCACAAATAAAAGACAGAAAACATAAAAGGAAATGAGCCGACATGAACGATGGCGTGTTAAATTAGTTTTTGAGGTGGCGACTCCTAATGAGATAATGTTACTGTGGCCGTGCTCAGGACGCAGATGTCTGGAGCGCGTCAACAATCAGAGCTTTGCATGCGCAAGCTGGTTACGGTCAGGATGGGGGTGAGGGGAAGGTTAAATTGCAAGAGGGTAAATGTCACAATTTGGTTAAATGGCCGTTTGACGGCGGGTGTCGGTACCGACGCTCTGGCACAGCGTGTCGCCTCCCGACGCGCAGGAGCTCGTCACCTGCTGACAGCAGGCTGCTGTCTTTTCCGAGGACTGCATCTTGCCGGTCATTATCACGTGACAGCGACTAGTCGATGACAGGCATAAAAAGTAAGTAAGTAAGTAAGTAAAAGTTTATTTATATAGCGCCTTTCACAGATATAAATCACAAAAGCGCTGTACAACATGATAAAGATCAGGGCAAATACCTCTAACCAATAAAAACATCAGAAAAACAATAGCAGTGATAAAGTAGAAAATAAAATCATGAGTATAAACAAAGTGAAGGTGTGAACCCGAACAAAGCCATCTTTTTGAAACATTTAGGGAGGGAACGCCTGGATGAAAAGGTGAGTTTTTAGATGATTTTTAAAGACCTCTACAGTGTTAGAGAGACGGAGATTTGAAGGTAGACTGTTCCAAAGTCTGGGTGCAATAGTCTGAAAGGCCCTGTCCCCTTTGGTTTTCAGTCTGGTTCGAGGAACAGCCAGGAGGTTTTCAGATGTGGATCTGAGGTTCCGAGAGGTGGTGTGTGGGGATGAAAGCTCAGATAGGTAGCTTGGAGCCTGGTTGTTAAGAGCTCTATAGGTCAGGACTAAAACTTTAAACTGTATTCTATATTCTACCGGGAGCCAGTGGAGGGACTGTAAAACTGGAGTGATGTGAGCTCGTCTGCTGGATTTGGTTAGGAGTCTGGCTGCTGCATTTAGGATGGCTTGAAAGTCACTATAGAGCGGTGAAGTCGACTAGTGACTAGTTCATACAACCCCTGCTACTGCTCCCCAGTGTGTTCTGCAGCATAATCAGCACGTTCTCTTTGAACTTGATATCAAATTTTCGCCTCCTCTTCGTCTCCATACGGTTAAAGTTACCCTCGCGGTCTATCACTGGCAAATCAAAAGTGAGACGGATGACACAACCGCCCCCCGTACTTGTTTGTTACCACATTCCACCCGGCCACATTAAAAAAACGGCCATTATTCACCTCCGCCGACTCCGACACTGGCCAAAATATGATACCCGGCACTTAATTAAATACAGGCTAATATTAGAGGATTTACGGGATTTTCAAATCTTCATTTACCTCTAATCCTTTCTCTTTTTCCACCGAAATTACCTCCTTTGAACTGAGTGCTTTTGAACTGGCAATCCCCCCCCCCCTCTGTCTGTTAATTTACCGCCCCCCAGATACAATAAGAACTTCATAACTGATTTCTCTGCTCTCTTAGCTGATATTTTCGCTCGATATCAACGTGTTCTCATTCTTGGAGACTTTAATATTCACATCTGCTGTCTGGAAAAACCATTCGTCACAGATTTTCTTAGTCTTAATTGATGCTTTCGGTTTGACCCAGTCTGTAAATGCTCCAACTCATGTACACACATACTCTCGACCTTGTGCTCTCATCTGGTATGTTGTTGAATGATCTATCTCTTAAAAGTCTGCTGGTCTGACCATATGCTTATTTCTTTTGATATTTTTTTTTACCTGTTAACAATCATTCACTCTGTCCATCACGTTCGTTACGGCGCATCATTAACTCTGAAACAGCAGGATCTTTTGTCAGTGCTTTTTCTGTGTCTGATCTGCCTAGTCAGCTTAGCCTGGATGATCAAATTGCTTTTTTTTTATGATAAATGTCTTACAGTCTTAATTTCTGTTGCTCCTCTGAAACCTGCTCACTCCAAACATAAAGCTGACAATTGGCTCAACTCTCATACTCGAAGTTTGAGAAAACTTTGTAGACAGGCTGAGCGCAAATGTTAAAAAGACCACCTCCAGATTTTATATCAGATTTTGCAAGACTTCTGGTCCAAATATCAACAAGCAGTTATGCATGCTAGAAGCTATTACATTTCTAAAATTATTTCTGCAAACCGGTCCAATCAAAAAGTTCTTTACAAAACTATTAATTCAGTTCTCGTTCCTCATGAGTCCAACTGCTCAGTTTTTGCATCATATCTCCCGGATCAGTTTCTAGATTTCTTTTCTGATAAGGTTTCCTCTATCAGGGCTAGCTTATCACTCCCTCTGCACACCTTCCTACCTTAACCTTTAATACAGCGCCCTTCCTCAGCTTTGAACCTATTTCCCTTCCATGCCTGCAATCTTTGCTTCTGTAGATGAAACCATCTGGTTCCCAAGGCGACATCCTTCCTCCGCGCCTCCTGAAAGAGGTGTTCCCAGCTATAGAGCTCCGGACCCCACGTGACTCTCAGTTAGTGGACGCCATTTTGGCATGCAAAAAAGGTAAACAAACACGGATGTAACCATGAACATGAACGGGATCCGCTTGGATTTTACTTCGTCGGAGTTTACTTCACACTTTAAAACAGAAGAAATCATTTTATATAGTCAGAAATTAAATAGACTAAACATCTCCGACCCTTACCATGCCCCTGGGATACTTTTTAAAAACGCCAGAAGTCGTAGCGGACTTCTTACCGGCACAACACCGGACCTGGCCGGGGAAACCCCTTGGGATTCCCCCGGCCGGAGGAGCTGGGGAGAAGGTCTGGGACTCTCGACTCTACTACCCGCTCCGACGCCAGAAGCTGTCGGAGCGGACCGGCACAGCACCGGACCTGACCGGGGAACCCCTTGGGATTTACCCGGAGGAGCTGGCTCGGCGGCTGGGGAAAGGGAAGTCACGCTACTGCCCCAGCAACCCGACTCCGGATATGCGGATGAAAATGGATGGATGGACGGACAAATAACAGATTTACATGTAAGTAGTCTAGGTGACACAGATAATAGCAATCCAAAGTGCTTTTTATGTGTGATCTGATCAACCATTGCTTAAAAATTAAATACGGCTTAGCCGGTTAATTGCTGTCATCATAAAACACGTAAACGGCAGCACGCAGAACTCACGAGGCAACGTTTTACGTGATGTTTACTTGCTGCTATGAGTAATAAGACAGAAAAAGCCACGCCAAAATAAGTTTAGGAAGCCCACTAAGAATCGTAATAAAAGCATTTAAAATAAATACCATACACAGTTGAGGAAACGTTGGTTTAAGTACCTGATATGAAGTGGTCGCTGCATAAGTGAAAACCTTTACTCTCGGGATCCCACAGTTTCATTTAAGCCCGGTCACTAGCGCGTTTTATTACAATGATCCAACGTTTGCGGCGCTCCGGATCTTGGGGAATCCTGTAGATGTCTCATTCCTTATGTCGTCCGCGTCTGTTCTGCATCCTGGGGCACAACAGGAATCTACCATATTTCCCGTTTGATTGAGTTTTCTGACAATAGTAAATAGTCCAGCTGGCGGCTTCTGCATGCCAATATGGCGCCGTTTCGATTTGAACTGTTGCATGCCGGGAGAAGTGACGTCAACTCCCGGAGCTCTATAGGTCATTATATCCTACACTTTATCAATACCAGTCTTATTCCCAGTGTTGTACCCCCGTCTTCAAACAGCTTCAAAGAAACCAGGCCTTGACGCCTCGGTTCTTTCTAATTATCGCCCTGTTTCCAAGCTTCCATTTCTGGCAAAAATTCTGGAGAAGGTGGTCTATGATCAGCTATCAACTCATCTAGCCGATCATAACATAAAGGATGTCTTTCAGTCAGGTTTTCGACCCCTGCACAGCACTGAGTCCTCTCTCCTCCGTGTCTTCAATGACATTTTTATGGCTACTGATTCTGGCTCCTTTGCTGTGTTATTACTTCTCGATCTGTCCGCCACCTTTGACACCGTCGAACATGACATCCTTTTACTACGCTTAGAGGAGGTTGCTGCAATACGTGGTTCAGCCCTAACTTGGTTTAGGTCTTATTGAGATTTTTATCCTTTGTTTTAGCTCCTTGTGGTGGTTGTGTTTTGTTTTGGCCTGTGCAGAACTTTGGGCAGCTCCCATGCTGCATTTTAAACCTGCTATATAAATAAACTATGCTAACTATGCTATGCTATGCTTATTTGTCTAACAGGTCCCAACTGGTGGTGTTGAACAACATCTCATCTTGCTCTGCTCCCCTCTCGTGTGGGGTCCCGCAGGGATCTATTCTGGGGACTTTGTTGTTCTGTCTTTACCTCCTTCCCCTCAGCTTAATCCTAAAAAAACACTGTTCAATATCACTTATATGCTGACGACTGTCAGATTTACATGTTGGTGAAACCCCAGCAATCCATCCAGCCTCTTCTAGACTGCCTACGTGATGTGAAATGTTGGCTGGCCACAATTTTTCTGCATCTCAATGATTCCAAGACTGAACTGATCCTGTTTAATCCAGTCAGATCTAGCTCATTCCAAACCCCAGATCTTTCATCTATTTCTCAAAATCTAAAAACCGTTGTGACAAACCTGGGTGTGAAGATGGATTCATCTCTAAGGATGGACGCCCAGGTCAATGCCAACTCTGCCATCTGTCCAAATTAAGAGCTGTTTTATCTAGAAAACATTTGGAATCAGTTGTTCATGCCTTCATCACGTCGAGGTTCGACTACTCAAATGCAGTTTTGCTGGGTGTCAATAAGTCAACACTTGCCCGACTTCAACTCATTCAAAACACAGCTGCTAGATTCCTAACACGTACTGACAGGCACCAGCATATAACACCAGTTCTCAAATCCCTTCATTGGTTGCCCATCACTTTCAGGGTCCAATATAAAATGCTACTTTTTGTTTTCAAATCCCTCCATGGTCTTGCCCCCGTGTACTTATCTGACCTTTTTTCAATTTATACTCCTGGTCGCACACTCAGGTCCTCCACCCTGTTGCTCATCGAGGTCCCGAAAGCATGTTACAAATCAGGTGGACAAAGAGCTTTTCTCTATTGCGGGTCCTAAACTGTGGAACGAACTTCCAGTCACAGCTCGACTGGCATCCACCTTGGCAGATTTTAAGTCTAGACTAAAGACACACTATTTTACTCTTGTATTTAACAGTTAGCTGTTAGTTTGGCTTTTACTACTCTTATTTTATCATCCATTGTAAGGTTTTATTGGTACTTTTTTATTGGCTTGTCTTTTTTTATTGTTGGCTGTATTTTATAGTACTGTTTGATTAGCTCTGATTTTTGATGCGCTCCAAACAGCTGCGTCCTGTGCATGGCCACAGTAATATTCTTAAAATACCACCACCCAAAAAAATATAATATGTCCAGTCATATTCGCTCGTTCTTTCTTTCATTTGTGATGCGCGTTGCTGCAGCAGAACTCATCACCCATGCCCTGGTGACTTCACCTCACTGATGCAGCAGCACACTTGCGAACTCCCCTACTTTGCGGTCAGTAGATCCGTTGAATCTGCTTAGTTCAAAAGTAACTCATGAGGTGAAAATATAGGAAGCCAGGCAGCAGTTTCAGAGACAGACAGGACAGGAAAATAGTTACATGAAAAACAAGAAAACCAAACAAAGAGCTTGAAAAGGAAAATGCAGGTAGATTTATTCCTCTACACCTTTTTACCTTTCTAAAGCTATTTATAAGCATGTAATATTTATATATTTGATACAACTCAGATCACCTTCTTAACTCCCATACCCACGGTATTTATGGGCCAAGGCAAAACACACACACACACACACACACACTCAAACAAAAAAACAAGGTGAAACTCACATCGTGCAGTGGAAAGGCAGACGTGTAGACGCTGTTAGCTAGCAGGCTGGTGATCCCTGTGGGACGGCACAGTCAGCAGGGTTAAGGTGCCGCACACACACACACACACACACACACACACACACAAGCATGCACAGGAAATGATAGATGTGATAGCTCCCTTACCCATGGAGTACTTGGCCTTTGTGCACCTTGTCCTCTTCAGGACCTCATAGACCTACATATACAAGAACAACCAGAGTGTAGCTTCAAACACCTCAGACACATGTCCTTCTTCCAGTCAGTTTCACAACATGAATTAATATGTGTGTGTGTGTGTGTGCGTGCGCGCGCGCGCGTGTGTGTGTGTTTGTGTGTGTGTCCATAAAGAAACTTAATACTTACAATTGAGCTTCTAGTCTTGCTGTCAAAGAATGAGTCTCTATCAGAGAGATCAAACCTGGAAAACAGACCTGGTTTCAGTTACAGAGCCAGAACAAAACTGCAGAGGCCTTTCAGAGATCCAGAAGGAATATTTCCGTAAAGCTAGATGTTATGAAAACACCTAATTAAATGTCTTAGAAAATTGTGATGTCTGGGTTGTAAAATAAGTCTGGCTGAATGTTTAAGGAGTTATCAAATTAATAATGAGAGTCTATACGATGACCCTTGTGAAGGGAGTTCTCGGTAGGTCCAGCTGGTTAGGAAGTCTAGTCGGCAATGGCCACGCCTAAAAAAATTGCTAGGAAGTGCAATTCCTTTTATTAACTGTTGTTAATAGTTTTAGACTAATCAGAACCTAACAAGTGAAAAATGGGCATTTACCAAGAAACCTCAGACACCACTCCATCAAACACTTACAAGAGGCTTATTCCACCCAATGTGAAGTAAATATGTTAAACATGTTTTGTTAAACTGATAATAAATCATTAAATCAACAAGTAGACTCATTTGGTGTATTTATTATTATTATTATTTCCAGAATAAACAATTACAATGATTAATTCATTACTGTGAAGCGGTCAGGATTATTAAAACACTTTAGATAAAACATTCATTGTTTAATGTAATTTTTCTTAGCCTGTACAGTAAAGAAATCATTTTATGAAACATAATATATTTTTATTAAAAGGGAGCTAGATCAAAGCCTTCTCCTTTAAGAGGACCTTGGCTTTGTAGGCCCAGTAAGCCAGGAGATATTTCATTATCACTCATCGTAGTTATGGGTGACATGGGTGGCACACTAATGAAGCAGGCCTTGTTTACGTTACATATCCACCCCCTTCAAGGACTTGAGGTCCGAGTAGAAGCCCTTGAAGCAGTTGTAAAAAGGTCACCAGGAAAGAGATGAAGTGTTAGATCCCTAATGATGTGTAGTGCTTGGTAGGTCATTCCACTTCTGTGAAATGACATGTGAAAAGAGTCTGGATTGTCCTCAGCATGGTGTGGGCACTGCTAGCCAATGATCAATTGATGAAAGGAGTGGCCGAGCCATGATGTAAGCCTTTACGAGAGGATTCAGGTAGATGGGAGCTGTACCAGGACTTTGTAATCTAGTGCTAGGGATGTGAATTTGATGTGTGAGGCTAACAGTAGTCAATGGAGCTCAGTGAACAGATGGGTGACATGTGCTCTTTTAGGCTGATCATCGTCATCACCACCACCATCAACATAATCATCATCATCACTGCAATCATCATCGACATTGTCATCACCATCATCATCATCTTCACCATCATTATCACTTCAATCATCATCATCACTACCATAATCACTGTCATCATTATCATGATAAACATCATCATCATCACTGCAATCATCATCATCATCATCATCATCATCATCCAGTGTTTCCCTTACATAGGCGTAGCCGTGGCGGGCCGCCACGGCTAAAATCCCAGCGCCACGCCTACAAGATCGCAAGTTTTACTGATTTTTTATTTTTTTGTTTGAGCCGTTTCCCGAAGAAGCAGCGGGAACTACTCTGTTGTTGCTTGTGATCACAGTCAGCAGGCAGCAAGGAGGAGGATGCAAGGCAGGGTGGTTACAGCTAGGGATGAGCCGGATACTCATTTCAAACGAGTATCCGGTACGGATAAAGCATTTTTGACAAATACGAGCATGAAACGAGTAAAACTTGTAAATATCTGTAATCGTGCTGAAGGAAAATCCTCATTGGGTAACTGACTGTCTTCACGCTCTGTGATTGGCCAGTCACATAGAGCGCCCGCCCCTCCCTACACACAAAACTGCAGCCGGGAGCTCAGTCCTTCTGGCCCATCCACGCACACACACACACACACCGTAACGGATCTCTCTGTGCTTGCTTCACTGTTGATCACGTTTCTTCAGTGCTCCCTAGGTTTTCTTCAGCTGCCTCTTTCGCTTGAATATTTAAATTTACTTTTTTCGTAACGTACGTGGTGTATTTGACAAGACAGAGCTGAAAACGGCTCGTGCATGCGTCGGTCACTGCCTCCGCTCTGGTTTTTTTTATTTTTTATTATTTTAACTCTTTCCCTCTCTCACACACCTCAACCAACATTGTTTTGTTTAACTGTGTGTGGGAAAAATGCCAACATCGTTAGGAAAAAATCAGTTTAATCAAATTAAAATAAAATGGTTCTAGTATTTCATATTTCCTAGTTCCTACTGCATGAGTCCAGATGCATTAATTCATGCACTTAAATAGTAATGTTCTGATTTTACTGAAAAACTTGTTCTGTAATAGTTCCTTTACTATTGTGATCAAAAATATTTCATCTCAATTCTGAGGCTGCTCTGTAAATAGTTTTCAAATAAACAATACGCATAGCGACTTCTGATCAATCCTTATCAATTTCAGATTTAAAATAATGTATTGATGTAAACAACACCCACAAATTTCCAAATAATAAATAAGAGGTGCATTCATCTGTGTATCTCCTTTGATCCGCATTAGTGATATTTTCAGCACCAGAACAATGAAGCAAAGAAACAGATTCCTGAGTTTATGTCAGTAATTTTATTTATTAGGTGCATCTGACCTGTTCTGTTTTTCTCTGAAATGAGATCAAATCAGTGCTTCTATGGGTTGTCTCCTCTCTGCACTAGAAACATGTACTTTATTATAATGTTCACTGTAATGCATCTTGATGTTCTTAACAAATTAAATCAATCAAAGATATTGGTCAATAATGCCAAATATGTACATTTGTGTTTCAGTCATTTTTATACTGGCTTAAAAATACTTCATTAAGTCTACTAAGCAGGGGTGTAGAACGTTTTTAATAGGGCCAGCCCAGTAATGATCTTGGACCAAAATAAAGGGGGCAGAAAGTCAAATAAAGGGGGGCAAAAGGAGATGTTTTTCCAGATGCCAAGAAAAATTAAATGCCAAATCCACCCTGCAAAGTGTGTCACTGAGAGTTTAAAACAAAAATTATTTTTGTGCAAATACTGGTGTACTCACCTTTATTACTAGTTATTAAAATGCAGCAGTTGCTGGAATGGCGCAAGTGGAGTGCATCAAATAAAACAATATTAACATAAAGATGAGATGTGTCATATCATAAACAACATCATCATCATCATCACTACCACCACCACCATCAACATAATCATCATCATGCAATCATCGATATTGTCATCACCATCATCATCATCAACTTCACCATCATTATCACTTCAATCCTCATCATCATCATCATCATCATCATTACTAACAATCATTGTCATCAGCATCATCATAAACATCATCATCACTGCAAGCATCATCATCATCATCATCATCATCATCACTAACAATCATTGTCATCAGCATCATCATGAACATCATCATCATCACTGCAAACATCATTGTCATCGCCATCATCACCATCATCATCACTATCACCACCATCATCATTACCACAATCATCATCACCATAAACACCATCATTTTCACTGCAATTTTCATTGTAATGGAATGAAATGACTGTTTTCCACCTAAAAGTCATTGCCCCCTCTCCTCAGCAAAAACTAATCTGCATGAAATATTGCTCAAGGTCTCATGCATCTGCTTCTAAATTGTTTTCCTTTCCAGCCCAAGAGAAGAATGAAGACAAAGGACTCGTTCTTTTTAATAAATCAAAGAACTCTATTTTCAATAAGCTAATCAAACTAAGTGTTAGTCAATAATGAAATGTGAACCAATTTGTGAAATGAAAATATTAATTACTTGATATTATAATCCTAGAGAATATAATAAGTAATATAAGTTTAAATGTTTCCACTAGAGACTGATCACACGTAGCGTTAAGACATGACACATTGCTTTTACTGATCCAATCAGAATCTGCCAGATCTGACGGAGGCGTGGTTTTGGTGGTGCTTGGTAAATCTGTCATCTTTTCATTCGACCGTAACTCAAAACATCCGAAGTATAAAACTATGCCCACGTCATCTTTAATGCCAGTTCAAAGCGTTCTAGATGTAACAAAATGAAATGACTGTTTTCCCCCTCCTCTGACACAGGACTAGTCTGCATGAGATATGGTCTCAAGGTCTCATGCATTCCTTCTAACCTGCTTATTTTCAGCTCAACAGAAGAATGAAGAATGAACTCTTTTCTTTTAATTAATCAAAGAACTCTATTTTAATGAAGCTAATCCAACCAAGTGTTAGTCAATAAATAAGATGTGAACGATCTGTGAAATCAAAATATTAATTATTATAATCCTATAGAATATAAAGGTACTATGACTTTAAATGTTCCAAAAAGGACTGATTTCACGTAGCGTTAAAAGACATGACATTACTTTCACTGATCCAATCAGAATCTGACAGATCTGACGGAGGCGTGGTTTTTGGTAACTCTGTCAACTTTTCATTCGACCATAAACCATAACATCCGAAGTATAAAACTATGCCCATGTCATCTCTAACGCCAGTTCAAAGTGTCCCAGAGAAAGTGTCGGAGTGGCCAATCCTGATCTATACTCTTCAACCAAAAGAACCAACGACAAGCTGAAAAATGTGTTTTTGTTCCAACTGCTGCAACGGTTCCTTTCAGAATAAAAGCTGAACCATCAAGACCCAGGCTCGGGTCTCACCAGACGCCAACAAATTGTCGTGACCCGGAAGTATCTCAAGACGGTGTCACGAACTCCTCCAGCTGACTGCATTCCATTCATTCCTGCCACCAACGTGGCGACTGACGTCATCACGCCGGCACTACTTAAGGAAGTGCCGGCGTTTCATTCATTGCTCAGTCATCGTTTCTCACCAGACTTTGTATCGAGTCTCCAGGCTTACCAGCCCTCAAAACACTCAAACTACACCTACAGGAGATAACCACGCCGGCTATCTCCGTCTCTCCGCGTCTGGGCAACAGAACTCTCAGTCACGCTTCAGATCTGCCAACGAACCTGACAGGATGACTGAGCCCCAAGTTGACCCAGCGGAGTTCGCGCGTTTGCGTGCCGAAGTGGCTCAACAGCG